TAGAACATTCATTAGAACTATTGTTATTATATTCAAGACAAGCATTAAAGTCTTTTTTATAATTTTGAATAGAAAGACAAACTCTTAAAAAAGAAAACTAATGAGTTTCACAAAATGTTTATAAATTATATACAATATTATTATCTTTAGCCTACTGCTTTAATTTTGTATTCTAGTAAGTCAAACTTTTAAAAAAATTTACTAATATTAAATTTTTTTTAATCAAATTTTTATAAGGCTGATAAGATAAAATCTCTTTTGCAATAAGGTTAAAAGCATGTAAACAACATCAAATACTGATTATATATTTATATTTTTTTAAAATATTTTTTCAAAATTATACTATAATTGAAGGACTGTCAGATACTAATACGATAATTTTGCTAAAATCTAAGTTCATATTTTTAATGAACTTTTAATAGCTATTAATAAATTATTTGCTATATGTTGATAACTAGAAAAGTTTTCAATATTAATAACTTCACTAATATTTTTAAATTTATATAAAAAAATGTATATATAGAATTTTCTGATATATCAGTCTACTCGTTAAAAGAAAGAGTTAAATTACAATTTCTTCAAGACGACTAATTATTTCTAATAATGCTCTTGCATACTCTGCTTATATTATTCTATGTATTAATATATATTTTGATAGTAAATTATAACTTGAGTATAATTTTTTTAAAAATAAAGCAAAAAAAGAGTTTTTAACAAATTGAAATGGAACATTACTATAAATTAATGATTGTAATTATAATATATGAAGTTCATTAATTTTATCTAACAAAATTATAGCTTTATCAAAAAAGTCTGTAAAATAGCTTTATGCTTTTTTGAAGACATATCTATATCTTCATTTGGGTAAGACTTAACTATATTTTTAGAATATTTTTTATTAATTTTTGTATATAAAGTATTTTATCTTCAGCTAATATTTTTTGGCAGATAGTTGCTATATGATTCGCTATTGCTTCTTTCTATATTTCAAATACTTTATTACAATATAAATACTTGATATTATATTAATGTGATTTGATATTTTTAACTTGTTTTGAATGTAAAAAATCTGTTCAGTGAGCACCAAAATTTTTAGATAGAGTTGTAAATTTATTATCTTCTAAATTATCTTATAAACTTATAGTACTTGATGAAATTATGATATTATTAGAATTTACAACATTATCTGAATCTACAATATTTTTAGAATCTACAACTATATTAAAAGTATTAATTGAAGTTGTAAAATTATTATCAGAATTTATAGATCAGGTTAATTAATTTTTCTTGACAATTTATATTTAAAATATCAAATTAACACCGAGTTAAATAGATTTATATAGTTTTTGATAATTAAAAAAATAAATAAAATTTTAAATATGATATTATATAATACGCAAATTTATAAAGTATTTATTTATAGAAATATAAATATTACTAATACTAAAGGTTATTAATAATTGAAACAGACTAAAGTTTATTACAAAAGTTATGATAAAAATAAATAATCTAAATCAAATTAAACTATATCGATATATTATATTACAATATTTTACTAATTAATTTGTTTAACAGGTTAATTTGTAGATTAAAAAGTATTTTAAAAGTGAAACTACAAATTAATAGACTTTAGAAGAAATTTTAAACAAAAATAATATTTAGTAAAGTTTTTAAAGACACTAAA